ACAGAGAATTTCGCTGCTAAACGTATAGCAATCTGCAAACATAAATGACATCCGTTACTACTAAAACAATTTGCATCTTAATACGTCTACTAACCGCATCGTTTTGATATAGTACAACAGTTAGACTGATTACATTTATCAGATTATTATGTTTGTCAAACACCTTACTATCAGAGCAAAGTATGCGTGATGAACAAGTAAGCAATTCTTTGGTCCGTTCATAACTCTACACTCATCCACTATGCTCTATCATCACTGCATGAAACAATAAGTTGCACTAATTTAGCATTGAACAAATAATCTATCTTGTAATATATGAAATGGCTAGAACATTTTACGGTCGACTTGCTCGGGCATATTGGTTGACGTAATGATGACGTAATGATTAGGAACAATTCATCGTGTTTTTCAATTGTAAACGATCGGCGTCACCGTCCCAGCGATATCACTCTTCAATGAAATTTTTTAAATTATACTTTTGGAGTTGTGGTTTTTCTACGATTTCGGTTGGAAGAAGTTGAAAATTCAGATGTGTTTTGAAAGAGCCTCTGGCGATGGTCTCCGCCTCCCAGTGCGGGACATTCTTGGAAGTTCTTCAGCTTTGCATCTCTGCCCATATTTTTTATTATTGAATGGCCACTCCAGCATTGGGAATAATTCATCGAGGGCCTTACTGCTACCTTGGAAATGCGACGTCTGCGTCATCATGACGGAGGCCATGACGATTGCCTGCATCCATGTTGTACCTGTAGACATATCATCATTACTAGTCTACTGCCGAAACGTGTGGAGCGAGATATACGGTGTGTGGCTGTAAGCAAAACTGGACGTTTGGGTTTGGTGCGGCTGGGTTACGCACGCAGTGTGGGAATGAGCCCGTGCAATACAACAATTCGCTTCAACATTAATTTGCTCTACTATTATTTGAAAAATATAGACTGCTACTCGTTCTCTGCTTCTCGCTAAAACAGTTTGTTTCGATAGATCTTTTTATATGTGGTGTGCGTGAGTGTGTGTGCATCTGTGCGTGTGTGCGTGCGGCGTGTGTGTCCGTGTAAGTGCGTTAATGCCAGCGTGTGTGCGCGGTGCGTGTGTGTGTATGTTAGTAAGGTAGTATATATAGTATGAGTCATTTTCAGGAATGAGTGACTAGCTTACTAAAATTGTCAACAACTTACCACAATTCGGATAGGACATTGACATAGACATCTTCGTCACGGCATTTCAGCTTCTGCTATTACTCGGGCATGTAAGTTACCATGTACGTAGACAAGAAAGTGTTTTTATAAACACGGAGATAACATAGGTAGGCGGCAACTCTTCATCCTGAATTTTCTCGTGACATCTTGCAGTACGAATATGTATCAAATGTGGAGCAAAATCCCTTCGGTAACCGGTCTTCAGAAGCGCGCCACGTAATACTGCACAGGGCGACCGAACGCATATGATTTTTTATCACACTAACATTTATTTAGGTCAGTGCATGGTGCATGGTGCATGGTGCACAGGCACTTGAAGCGTTTCAATAAATATATACGCAGGGGTCGTGTGCTGTGCACGGCACTCGACCCCTGCGTATATATTTTATTGAAACGCTTCAAGTGCCTGTGGCATGGTGGTGGTGGTGCGTGACTGCTGTAGTACAGGCGTTGTGTTGACTCGTAGCCGGCGCATGCGTAGTTGCTATACGCTGTGCTGTTACTCGTGCTGTCGTTGTCGTAAGCAACTCCTGGGGGGGGGCACTTGCATCGGAACCGGGTAGGGGGGTGCCTCGGGGACCTGGAAAACCTGACCCTGTCGCAAACCGCTTTGCGCCCTAAAATACACCCTGTCCCAATATACGGCGTAAAAAGTATACCCTGTTGCAATATCGGCTTGCCTATATTTGTCCAATATCGGCCTGGTAATATTGGCCCAATATTGTTTTGCCAATATTGTGCCGATATTGAACCAATATCTGCCTATATTGGTCTAATATTGGCCTGGTGATATTGGCCCAATATTGCATGTTTTGCCAATATTGAACCAATATCGACCCCAATATCAACTTGCTTGCTGGGTATACTGGGTATATCTAGATAACCCTGTGCCAATAATGATGTTCGGAAAATATACGCCTACCTTTAGCAATGGGAGTGCCCCCGCCCGGGAAGCAATCGTGTATTCAGTGGACAGGGAGGGATGTATATGGGTTCAGGTATTTGTGTCACACTGTAGCGCCGTCTTCGACAGCGTACGAATAGTGTGACTGTGTTACAACGTTAAGTCTAAGCCAAGAATAAGAGAAAGCCAGTTGTTACCATGATTTAGACGTTTACTATGATTTCTGCGAGCGGTTACAGCCGTTGTCGCGGTCGTGTCTGCCGGTGCCTGGGTGAAGCCGAATTCCCCGATTCTCCCCGGCTCTCGGCTTATATACGCCAGCCACGACCGCGTAACCCACATGAGTCACGCGTGCGTCACGCGTGCGTCACGCGTGCGTCACGCGTGCNATTGATTTTTGAGCAACCTTTTTACAGGCGCCAAACCCTAACGAAACCCACTGCTCACTCGCCGAACCCCTCAAATTTGACAAAAGCAAATCAATTTTATTTAATTCAAAAATAAAACATTGCATATAGTATTGCATCAACATTCAAGACTACTCGTGTAGGTCCCTATGTCGTCAAAAACAATTTCGTGTCAAATGCTTGTCAAAAGTAAATTATCACTTGATTCTGCATTGGAGTATGTACTAAATAAAAAAGAAATTGGGTGGCAATTTTTTCGAAACCCCCTATCGGTCTGAAAATCGATAAAATCCAAGATGGCCGTCGCGGAAGTGTTGAAATATACATAATGTCATATCTTTGCAACCAGTTACGATAAAAACACGAATGAGGTGTATATTCATACATTTTAATGCATAGGAAATCCGATTCTGCCATCTATAGGTCCGAAACGTGAAGTAGAAACAAGATGGCTGCCACATATGAGCAAAAATGAGCACCAATCAAAATTGACAGATCAACTAAAGCTCAAACGTTAAAGGACACCGTTCTCTGCAAGTCTCTGACATGCAAAAAGCCAGAACCCATAAGTCAGAAGCGTAAATGCAAGCTTAGCACAGAAAATCCTATGAGAGACCAGAACAAGAAGACAGATGAGGCCTGGTTAATCGGATGCTTGAACTTCAACAAAGAAG